ATGCGGTCTATTGCAAGGGCGTGTGTCCTTAATGCGTACTCCCGAAAAGCGCTTGTCAGGTATGAGTTCGACTGACAAATGCAAATTCATATTATGAACACACGGAGCGATATAACAAATTAATATGCTATAATACATACAAGATAATATTGTTATCGCGCCATGTTTGATTTTCGTACGTCTGTTAGCATCATGACCCGGGATTTGTATTTTCGTATATCGTAAATATCCAAACAAAACACTTGAAATTAGTACTGGTGAATATTTATGAGTCATTAATTGTTTCCTGCAAATCTTATAACACGACACGTTAGATTAACCCGACCTCGAAAATAAAGGTTCTTTTTCTGTTTAACGTTTGGATAATAAATTTACTGAAATGGTTTATAATTTACCATCGCGCTGTTATTTGCCGATAAACAAAGCGAATTTCTACTCAGTTAAACTAAAGGTATCGTAGATATGATATTGAAATCAATGTGCATGGCATGAAACGCAAACCATTCTCAATGACGTAATTCAGGTAAGTTCAAGATAATTTACCAAGTTTATGTTCGCTTTTGTCCTAACCTCTGTATGTTTGAAAATGTCAGGATATTTTTATATGACAATGTGTAATTTTTTATCATGTATCAGGTGCAAAATATTAGTTCAAATGTCCCTTGTTTGATGAAGCACCGACCGTTTGAAATCATCCACCCTATTTACAGCGCCTTATGCTAACATTAATCCAGCAGGCAGGGGTAAGAAGTGGGAAAACAATTCAGCAGGCTAAAGGTTAAGCGCACTTTTGTCAATTAAGTCAACAATGTATGTATTGTATGATAATATTTAGAAGGCAAGACAATTTTCAGAAGGCAGGGTATATTCACGGAGTGGCTAAGACAGATGTATCTTGCACGGCATCTATAATTCATGTACTAGAATATCCTGCTGAAACAGTATCATTCACAGGAATACTGAGATCAGTTAAGAACAAAACGGGATATGTTCCCTCGAATACATTTTCCCTATTCCATTCACTTTTGTTTTAATGATTTAAAACTCAGATTTGAAACAATAAAACATCAGCTATACGGCAATGAAAACTATCGATATCACCCGTCTTGAAACTGGACTTCGTATTTCCCTAATACGGGGATCGCATGAACCTCTGACCTTCTCAACTTACCCGTGAAACTGAAACTGAAGACACTACTCGATATGTCAACTCATGTGAGATTGCAAATTTTGGGGCTGGGATGGTTAAATCAACAACATAAGATTAAACACGTGAGTGAGTGAGTTGGGTTTAACGCCGTCTTCAACAGTATTCCGTTAGACCACGGCGTGTCAGGTTAATGTGGGAGAAAAGCCAAAAGGGTTGCAGGTCTCAATCGTTTACCACTTCGGTGAAACCCACGAGCACGGGTATGGTGCTGACACACCAAGAAACATAATCGGGGCGAACCGGGATTCGAACCCACAGTCATAGGTTTCTGGCGTGCCCAAGGGACGCAACCCTGCACAGCGAATCGCGGCGACGTAGACGACTGGGCCACCCGTGCCCCCACATCTCAAACGAACCCACACAGATCAGTATCTTTACTACGCTACAAACCATCCACCTCAAATTAAGAAAGGTATTATCTCAACCCCAGCAAGACGAGCTCACAACATCTGTTCTACTAAACAATACCTAACTACTGGACTGAATCCCCTGAAGCAGGTTTTCACACAGTACAACCGCTACCCAGAGCAGCTGGTACCACAGACAATTCAGATTCTACCACGAAAACCCAGAAATCTCCCTGTTAACAGTCCGCACCCTTCGTGTGTAGCCTGGCCTACTTTGGAACCGTAAGCCATAAAGTCCAGACTCTTTAAAAGCAGGCCCACGTTGATGTCGGTGTCAAGAGAAGTATCAGTATTGAAAATACCATCAAAGTCACAGGAAACCCGTCATCCAGCCAACAGCAAGCACCATCGGGAGCGCTGTACCACATTCCGTGTCCTTGTGAACATGCAAATGTTGGCGAAACATCACGACACTCCGAATTAAAGAACATCAGCGTTCAGGTTATAAAATTGACTCAAAATCAGCTTTATGTGATCATATCCGTTATCCAGCGAAGCTTGTTACATTCGTACACGTCCATAAAATAGAACATTCTATTATCACCCCGGAAAGATTCAATCTGATTCAGTTGATAGTTAGCATAACCCGACCGGTCATAGTAGTACTTAGTAGTGTTATCAAAGTCTCCTTGACATGAAACCGACAAGTCGAAAACTGTTCTTTCTTATGGTACTATTTCCTACTGTCACCGGGTCCTAAAACCAGTCTAGTCACTGTCTAGTGACTCTACCGCTTCCCTCTCTGGTAATTACCCGGCGCCGTCACTCCGCCGGAGATATTGGTGTCTTCCGCCGTGAATATTGCTAAAAGCGGCGTAAAACCATACTTACTCATTCACTCACTCTTGAGACTTGAGATCTGTCACTGCATTGTATATCTGACCGCACACGTGGTCGAGTGGATAGCGCGTCTTAAGAATATTGTGATGATAACATAATCTCCCCTCACATTGAACATACCACACACAGAAATGCAAACACTATAAAAAAAACCTTTGAAACCATTGTAAAAGTAACACTTTCCTTCAGTGAAGGCTCACGATTACATAAAAAAGGGGTGCTCTATAATGAATGCACCCTGTGAGCAAGTCTATATCAATACTTCTCGAGATGTGTATTGACTACGTCCCTCCATCACCCTTGATATACATACGGTACAGTGCTATGTAATGTGAGTATTGACTACGTCCCTCCATCACCCTTGATATACATACGGGGGCGGTCGGGTAGCCTGGTGGTTAAAGCGTTCGCTCGTCACGCCGAAGACCTGGGTTCGATTCCCGACATGGGTACAATGTGTGAAGCCCATTTCTGGTGTCCCCCGCCGTGATATTGCTGGAATATTGCTAAAAGCGGCGTAAAACCATACTCACTCACTCACTCACTGATATACATACGGTACTTTGCTGTGTAATGTGTGTATTGACTACGTCCCTCCATCACCCTTGATATACATACGGTACTGTGCTATGTAATGTGTGTATTGACTACGTCCCTCCATCACCCTTGATATACATACGGTACTGTGCTATGTAATGTGAGTATTGACTACGTACCTCCATCACCCTTGATATACATACGGTACTGTGCTATGTAATGTGAGTATTGACTACGTCCCTCCATCACCCTTGATATACATACGGTACTGTGCTGTGTAATGTGAGTATTGACTACGTCCCTCCATCACCCTTGATATACATACGGTACTGTGCTGTGTAATGTGAGTATTGACTACGTCCCTCCATCACCCTTGATATACATACGGTACTGTGCTATGTAATGTGAGTGTTCATTGACCTGCAGCAATCGGCATTAGACCCGTGAAGATTCCGGGGTAGAATAGGTCTTCAGCAACCCATGCTTGTCGTAAAGGGTAACTATGCTTGTCGTAAAAGGCGACTAACGGTATCGGGTGGTCAGGCTCGCTGACTTGGTTGATGCATGTCATCAATCCCAATTGCGTGGATTGATGCTCATGATATTAATCACTGGATTGTCTGGCGCAGACTCGATTATTTACAGACCGCCGTCAGATAGCTGGAATATTGCTGAGTGCGGCGTTAAACAACAAACCAACCAACCAACTAACCAATCGGCATTATGTACTCGCGGGTGATGGCGGAACGAGGTTTATACAAAACCTGTAGTGAGATTAAATGGGCTTTAACGTCGCGTCCAAGATTATAGCACTTTGATAGCGTCGTGTGCGTGATTGCGTGCGTGCGTGCGTGCGTGCGTGCATGGACTAGTCAGGTCTAATGACAATTTCATAGAGGTAGTCCACTGAGATACCATGCCGCACACAGTCTGCTGACTCCGGGCCGACCAGTCATTGTTTTATACCCTCAATGCCGAGCGCCAGGCACGTTTACCATCTTTCAACCTCTTTTGGTATGAGGTGGCAATAGACAGAATATACACTTTGGGCCGATTGCTGAAATGCTGTGGACGAAAAGTTGTCGCATCAATGATAGATGACAATGATGTTAGTGCTGTGTGGACTAAAGTAGAATCAATAATGCCAAAGAAGAAGTCATACATAATACGATATAAATCGTTTTTATCTTTATTATTAATATAAGGTGTTTTTCTTTAACATTCAGTAGCCGCTTTAATCAGATGAATTCGGTGACGTTCTGGTGTGTTGCCGTTTTAGCCTGGGCCCAAAATGAAATGTTTGACATAGAGTTAACAGAATAACCTTCTTTATGTGTACATAAATGTTAATGTCAGTTACGTGGTGCCGCTAAATACATCAATTTATGTGGGATGAACTATAAGTAATGAGCATATATGAACATTGTTGAAGTCACCAAATAACAATTTCAATTACAAGTTGATTAATGAAAGACACATGTCTGAAAATACAGCTTGTTCTTGTGAATACATGTATGAAAATGTATCATACTATTTCATGTCATGCCCCTTTTATAATGATATAAGAAATTATGCATTCTTCCTTTCTGAGGGAGTTGATCTTCAAACTATATTGAATTGTAATGCTAATTTAACAAAAACTACAAATCTAGATATCTTAAAATCAGTACATTCATACATGCTTCTTTCCAAAAGGTTTAAGTTAACGTGAGACTATAAGTCCCCCTTATATGTTAGTTTTTCTACTTATTACACCAAACTGATGTCCATGGCCGCTTACTTTTGTTAGCAAATTAAGTTTATCATCATGTATTATGTTGTATAATGCCTTCGTGGTTATAACTTGTGCTGGAGAGGTTTTAACATAAGTCTTATTGGCTTGTTTACCGATCCAGATTGAATAGAAATATGCTTAAATCATTAATATTTTACTTCCACTTCGACAAATATTCTAATGTCAAAGGGAGGCTACTCTATTGTTTAGCGTGTCAAAGGGACATAATCACAACCCGGAAGCCCGGTCGCCTCAACTTGTTTACACGCGTGTCTTCGTGTCCAGACCGATACCTGGTGATATATACAGTTGAGGGAAGAACGTTTATACCTCAGGACTATTGCGTGTGTATTTAGTGTGACTTTATCAGCGTGAGCTGTCAAACATGGCGAGGCGATGGAAGCTACCGAACCGACGCGGCGATCAGATCGCCCTTGCTGTGTTCACCTTCGGCGGGGTATTTGCCTTGTGGTACGAAGTATTCCATGTGCTGCCGACATTCTACCCGGAGTGGACGACTGAATCGTACGTGCATTGTGTACTCGCTGCTGTGCTTGCCTCAAATATATACGGAAATATGTTTATGCTCGCTACCACGGACGTCAGCGGGACCGACCTCGTCATGCCAACCGGCCCCGCCCCTAAAGGGTGGCGTTATTGTGATACCTGCGTCAGTAACTACCCCCCGAGATCCCATCACTGCAAGTTATGCAACATCTGTGTCTTAAAACGCGACCATCACTGCTTTTTCTCCGGATATTGTATCGGTTACCATAACTACCGATACTACGTTGTCATGGTAACGTATATGATGCTAGCGGGTATCTATGGTAATATTTTCAACTTATCCTTTGTGCTGGAAGCGAAAGGAGGCATTTCATTTTGGCGACTGGTCTCATTTTGTGCGCCCCATGTTGGGTTTATGTTTGGCTTTGAGAGCCTGTACGTGTCTTTCATCACCTCAGTAACGTCGGTCGGCTTTCTGGTGACGTATTGTTTCGCATGGCTCTTCCTCAACCAGGTGATACAGATATACAAAGGACAAACGATGCATGAGCGGAAGAAACAGATTTCTACATATAATCTCGGATTGAAACATAATATCGTCGAAGCCTTGGGCAAGAACTGGTGTTTGGTGTGGTTTGCGCCTTGGATACCGTCCAAGTTGCCGGGTGATGGCCTATCATTTAGATCACAGAACACTAAAGAACTTTAGTTTCTGACATCATCCGTTTAGCTTCGTAGTAGAGTCAGGGACAGACCACTTTGTTTTATTTTATTCACTACACCTATGTGTACATTTGTGTTTTCATTACATCCAGCAGGTCCAGCAAGGCTTTTGTTGGGATAAAACGTGAGGCAAAATTATTTTCCTATCTCGTGACCCCCAGATTTCAAATGGTCTGTTCCTAGCGTCTTGAGTAATAAAGAGCTACTATAATAATTGTATATGAGTCCCTAGATAGTGTTTATGTATATTTTCAAATGTGTCTACTTTCCTGGTTGTGTTCATGTATTGACACAAACTTTTTGTATTTTTAGTTTATCAGAAATAGTGATTACCGCATATAGTATATAGTCTAATTATGCAGACAGCTATATGATCATTGTCATATTCTATCATCGCGTTCCAATGTGTCTTATAAACTCACATATGTAGAGACAGATTTGTTTCGCGATCTGATCCTATTAATATACATCCGGCAGCCATTAATAGGATCAGATCGCGAAACAAATCTGTTGGATTTTCCATTTAGTAAAAAGGCTTCTACAGTCTCAACGCTTCAGTTTATTGAGACTGGGATACAGGATAATAAAGAATCTGATTTTTCAGATGTGATAGTTATCCCATAAAAAGTGTGCAGGCATTGTCAGTACATGCATGTATTTTTGTATATTGTATCAGCTCAATTCATCACGAGATGCCTTTCTTTGAGGTGAGGTGAAATGGGGTTTAACGTGGCGTTCAAGATTATATTGCACTTATATATGTGCCGGTTTGTGAGGTGGGGTGGGGTGAAACGGGGTTTAACGTCGCGTCCAAGATTATTGCATATATATGGCGACGTACATGCATGTGTGTGTGTGTGTGGCTGCTTGTACTAGTCCGGACTGATGCCGATTTATAGTTCTAGCCCCCTGAGATACCATGCCGCAGTTTAACATGAGTACCCCACTCAGACACAGTATACTGACCCCGAGCCGACCAGTCCTTGTTTTAGCCAGTCAATGCAAGACAGGGTAACAAAAAGTCCCATCTTCTACCACTAGACCACGGAGGCGGTCGTGTGGGTTTTGTAGTGCTAAGATAGAATGTCGCAGTTTTAACAGGGAAACCCCACTGGGACACAGCATACTGAAACCGAGCTGACAAGTCCTTGGTTTTGTCCCCTTTATGGCGAGCGCCAGGCAGGGTATCAAGAAGTACTATCTTTTTGGTATGATGCGCCAGGGATCGAACCAGTCTCCTGGCAGACGCTCTATCCACTAGATCGCTAGATCCTCTTGAAGCATGTATGATTTGAATAAGCTGTTTATCCTCAACAAGTGTGTTCATAACAGCATGTTTCTTTCGCTTTTAAACCAGTTGCTTTTTTAGTCTTAACGTCGTTACAACAGCCGTTGCACTTGAATACCAACTATTACGAACCAGGGTGCCGTTGTACAAAGCGACCTTAGCGCTAAGGTGATCGTTACTCCCGTACCTTAACATAGACTACGACAGTCGTAGCACTAAGGTGATCGTAACTCCCATACCTTTACATAGACTACGACAGTCGTAGCACTAAGGTGGTCGTAACTCCCATACCTTAACATAGACTACGACAGTCGTAGCACTAAGGTGGTCGTAACTCCCATACCTTTACATAGACTGCGACAGTCGTAGCACTAAGGTGATCGTAACTCCCATACCTTAACATAGACTACGACAGTCGTAGCACTAAGGTGGTCGTAACTCCCATACTTAACATAGACTGCGACAGTCGTAGCACTAAGGTGATCGTAACTCCCATACCTTAACATAGACTACGACAGTCGTAGCACTAAGGTGATCGTAACTCTCATGCCTTAACATAGACTGCGACAGTCGTAGCACTAAGGTGTTTTGTACAACGGTACCCAGGTTTGTTCATGTTACCGCAACCCATGTTTGTTGTTTGAGGCGAATAACAGGATCGTGTGCACGCGGTCATCGTCTCGCAAACGCGTAGATCGATGCTCATGACGTCATTCACTGGGTTGTCTGATCCGGACTCCATTATTTTACAAATGGCCGTCATACAGCTGAAGTATTACAAATGCAGCGTTAAACAACCAATCAACAAGCAACATATCACCGACAGCCAGAGGTTAATAGTGTGTATCTATCCGTCCACCCGCCCTCTCTTTCGGTGTGCATGGGGAAACACGTACCTTTGTGCAGATACCCCAGGTGTCAAGGTGAAATATACGTCATAACATTTGAGTATTAGCGATTTGAATCAAACGTTCAGGGATTTTCAATTTCCCAGAGCCGATTGCCTTTTAATTCTGTCCATCTTGTCGGCATTAGCCAGTGTGATATGTCACTGGCCTGTTTGGATAAGTGCCCTGGGTCTACTCGCTACCATAGATTCGCCTTCAGCCCGATTGTAACGGCGCGACGTTTAGACTGTTCCTAGAATCAATTTACTGTCATGGCCAACAGACAAACTGTGCAAAGCTAGAGATATGAGCGACGGAAACGAAACCATGCGACGAATAGGTCCAGGGTACTTATCATATTAATATGAAGACAGAAGATTTATTTTTAGTTTGTTGTGCTGGATCGGATTTTAATATCCGTATGTGGTTGCTTTTTTGTCGACTAGAACAGAACGTATATATTTATTACATAAACAAATAAATTAAGTACATATCTATATTTCTTATATCATTTAAGAATGCTTTGGATGTATTGTTTGATAGGCATTACTTGGAAGTTGACGGATGACAAAGTAGACACAATTTATGGATAACAATTTCTTAATTTCTTTAAAGGCGACGTATCGGTATAGATCCTTATAAAGAAGTTGTTATCCACAACTTGTGTCTACTTCGTGCTTTGGATGTGATGATAGGCGAGATCATAAGTCAAACTGATACGGGTTTCGTTGGAGGGATACAACAATATGCCTCCTGTTGCAACTTGTCATCCGATCTCGATCAATGTAACCTTTGTTAACATGACCAATACTTAGCGATTTGTAATTGTCAATAAACAAACTGTTTGGAACACATATCCCTGTGCTGTATACTCGTATTTAGGTTCAGAACGCTGCAGCATGATAGCAGTGAGTGAGTGAGTATGATTTTACGCCGCTTTTAGCAATACTCCAGCAATATCACGGCGGGGGACACTGTAAATGGGCTTCACACATTGTACCCATGTCGGGAATCGAACCCGGTTTAAGCGTAACGAGCGAACGCTTTAACCACAAGGCTACCCCAACACCCCTGAGGCTTCTTGAACAAAATAGTTTGGTCAGTTCTGTAGGGATCCTTATGTTAAAGAAGACAGTGACAGTATTCTCTCTGACAAGACCCGTGAAGATCCAGGGTAGAACAGGTCTTCAGCAACCCACGCTTGCCGTAAAAGATGACTGCTTGTCGTAATAGGCGACTAACGGGATCGGGTGGTCAGGCTCGCTGACTTGGTTGATGCATGTCACTTGCATGGATCGAAGCTCATGATGTCAATCACTGGATTGTCTGGTCCAGACTGGATTATTTACAGACCGCCGTCATACAGCTGGAATATTGCTGAGTGCGGCGTTAAACTAATAAACACACATTGATATTTTTATTCTCAACCTCAACCTTGATACTAATACTGCCATGTTGACACTTACATTGACACTATCCCTCATGCTGATACTAATACTGACAATAATGTCAATACTGACACCAGCAGTATTCTCATACTGGCGCTACAATTATATCGGCTACAACCACTGACCGCGAACACGACCACAAACATGAGTATTGGCACGAGTAGTATAGGGTAATACTTATCCAGAGTAATACTTATCCAACTCCGTTATACTTACACCTCGAAAGGGTGAAGCATCGTTTACTATATATTCCATATATGGTAGTTATTCAAATACATGTCTTAAGTTTCTGACTACAAAAATTATACTAGTGCCAATATTCAGCCCTAGCGAGTTGTATTCGAGTAATTATGACCATACTTTGTCGAACACAAACTCCACCATGTGCTTATAGACAGCAACACATTCAACAAATGAGGCGGTGCACGTGGTGACTAGTGACACTAGCTCTCTGCTGTCTGATGGTCGTATGGTCCGAAGTCTCGAACCCCGGATATATCGAACTGTTTGTCTGGTTGTCATTCGAGACAGCGGGATTTGACTGTAAATCACTCGATCAGTTAATGCTCACCCTTAATGGATAATGTCTTGACAATGATAATAATTACAATGTCTACAACTCGGCAAGAGCACCAAGCCATGGAGCTCTGCCCCCTTAAAACTACAGACCAGTACTTAACCCTGCGGCACACAGGACACGTGATCAGTCGTAACATTATACAATCATACACGGCTTTATACATATACAATAAATCCTCTGCTATAATTAGTTGTTATACTAATGTACGTTCATCCAGCTACTCTCTGACAAACACGTTACAGAGATTTACCGTTGCATTTTGCCGATGTCGTCTACTTAAAAGCCGGGCGACCCCGTCAAACCGGATCAACCGGGCTGATCCATGTCGTTATGTTAATGCAGAACACGATCACTGAAGTAGCTTGTCTTGTTCGGGGATGTTCAAAGACGATGCGAACATGACTCAAGTCATTAGTACAAGATTAATTAATGATGATCTCGTCGAGATGCCCCACGGCAAGGGCGTGATGAGCTGGTCGCTGTGCCTGCTGCTGAAACATTTCATTTCTTCGTGAACACAGGAACGTTTCGCAGCGGATATTAATTGAAGATGAAGAAAGGTAAATATGTGTTGTGTGGCAAGTATTATATAAAGATGGTGATGCGCCTATCAAACATAGCAATTGATAACATGATATGCTCCGTTCTGTGAGGACTTTAGGCGGCGCGGCTCAGTAGCGACACACAACTTTATGCACTTTCATTTGTAAAAGGAATTCCCTTGAAGGTAATACAATTAATATATAATGTTATTAAATCATAAAATGTTTAATAATTTGCGAGACGTTTTCTAAATATTGGCATTATGCTCATTAGGATAACGTTATATAAACTATATATCATGTTCTGGCGTTCTAACTTACGTTAGCACGTTGACATTAACAAACAATGATATTGGCGACTTTTACTCTTTATTATTTCTGCATTCCTTGAAATGTTAAAACAGTTCTGGGGAACGTACTTAATTTGATCGGGTGGTCAGGTTTCGTGGCTGATAGCGCGTCAACGAACACAGACGGCTTTCGCCTTTGCTCATAATATCAACCACTAGTTTGTCTGATCAAGATCCGTCTGTCAACCTACTGGTCATTGTCAAATATTAGTGACTTCAGGGCTGAACAACAACCATGGCAACAATTTGCCGAAGAAATTAAGACAACATTATTTAACAGGTATTTCGTTACAGAGGTGTTTACGGCTGTGATCCATGAATGTCTTACTCAATATTGTCTTCCTTCAGGCGAGTACTGGGTCACGAAGCCTTACTGCTACTGTCATGGAGCGGCGCTATGTAAGTATGCCATTATTGTCAGTCTCCCTGATACAATGAAACCACGGTATCCGGACCATAGCGTCCCGGGCGACATCGTCCTGATTGACAAGTGTCCGGAATAGCGAATCATGGTCATTGAGGGATATCACGATCAGCAGTAGTCGTTGGTAGTCCGGATAAACGAGACTTCGCTGTAAAGTTGTTTAGACTGTAGTTTCCTATACCAATACAATGAAACCCCGATAATACGGACGTTAGTTAAAATCGTTCAGGCTGGGTAGGTTGTAGTGTGTCTTTAATAATCACCATACTGCAGCAGACAAGGGAAGCAAACGGATCGGATGGTCAAGCGCGGTGACCAGGTTCATTGCGGGACATCTCACCGTGCCAACGTGGATCGTTGCTCATAATATCAATCACTGATTTATCACGTCCTGACTATGAGGGTTGAGCCTGGGAATTTTGTTAAAGACGGGATATTTTTTCGGTCAATATTTATAACACATTCATGTTCAATAAAAGGAGCCGGACAATTAGTTTTTTTCACCCAAACATTCTTGCGAATTATTACATTTTGAGCAAGACATGACAAATAAATTTTTCCAGTTTCTTTTATTTTTTCAAAACAAATATCATAACCCCCTCATCCTCCCCCAAGTGAGTGAGTGAGTGAGTTATGGTTTCACGCCGCTCTAAGCAATATTCCAGCAATATCACGGCGGGGGACATTGGGCTTCACACATTATACCCATGTCAGGAATGGAACCCGGGTCTTCAGCGTGACGAGCGAACGCTTCAACCACTAGGCTACCCGACCGCCCCTCCTCCCCAAGATCAAGAGGTATGTCGGCTCCTCACGATCATCTTAACGCTAAGACAGCTTCTTTGAACGGGGCCCTATTTGTAATTGCTTATATTCTAACTAACTTCGTGTATGAAAGGCTACGATACTACGTATTGAATTACAACACATATAGACTCGTGACATGAAACAACAGCAGCAACATAGAATAGCTGTTAAGGTGGGCGTGGCTGTAATATCAACCATCTTCGTTATGTGGCTGCGCAGGTTTTCAGTTAACTTGTCTGGCGACTTAAATATTGCAGCCAACACACCTTCCCGTCAACGACATTACGTCAAACCCTACTTCAAACAGATGTCAAGTTTCTCTCTCTTTCCCTCTTAAGAATTCTTTGAACTTCAAGACGTTTGTGTCTCGAGTAAAACGCACTACGCATTAACCCGGCATGACTACAAAAATATTTACGAATAAAGTTAATAAAGTTAATAAGTTACTTATTTCATTTACAATATACTCCGACCTGTGCGATAGAGATGATTCACAATTGGTGTAAGTATAGGAGAATGTCCGAAATCTCGCGATTATTTTCGCACGTGAAGCTTGTTCGAGGCCGGTAGGCCATTGGGGACTTTCTCCTACTTAAAACATAGTTCGATCAAGTTAATGCCTCAAACTAATCTTCAAGTGATATCCACTTTACTATGCTATACTATGGGAGGGTGACCGCTCTTGTTTCACTTTGGGAGGGGAACCTTTCAAGGAAAACTATGGGACAAATTAGTACCCATACATAAACTATTCGAGTGTTAGCAAAGTGATTGCGTCTATCCAACTGTCATTAAAGTTCACATAACTTTGTTTTAACAAGAATTAATTACTAGTAGGCTCAGATCACATTCCGGTGTAATTGTCTTGCATGGGAATCGGATCCTGCGGACCAAGGACTTGCTCTGTTGGGACGTAATGTCATCTGAGTCTTCACGCCCACGTGTCATGGGCGACTCGGTGGCCCATCGCCCCGGGGGTGCGGATTCAGTTGTACATAGCTATCAATAACCACCTCCTCCCAACACGTCCCCGTGACAATCCAGGTAAGAACTGGTCTTCCGCAGCCCATGTATGTCGTAAAGGGCGACTAACGGGATCGGCTGGTCAGGCTGGCGAAGTTGGTATTACGCAATGTGTCATACAGTTGTATGTTTATTAAATGGATGATCTCCTTACGGGCGAGTAATAGTGAGTGAGGATGGTTTTACGCCGCTTTTAGCAATATTCCAGCAATATCACGGCGGGGGACACCATAAATGGGTTTCACACATTGTACCCATGTCGGGAATCGAACCCGGGTCTTCGGTGTGACGAGCGAACGCTTTAACCACTGGGCTACCCGACCGCCCCCGGGCGAGTAATAGAAGTTTGTTTCATTGAATGTACCTGAATAATAGTGTACCCGTGTTCGATACGATTGTACTCAAGCTAATTAATGATTGAAAGTTGTTTTGGTGTTGTTTGTTTGAAGTTGTTTAATGCCGCATTCAGCAAAATTCCAGTTTTATGGCGGCGGTCTAGAAATAATTGAGTCTGGGATCGGATGGTCAAGTTCGGTGACTCGGATGATGTATGTCATCGTATCCCAGTTGCGTAGATCGATGTTCACGATGACAGTCACTGGATTATTTACAGATTTTGATGACAGTCACTGGATTACTTACAGATTTTAAAGACAGTCACTGGATTATTTATAGATTTTAATGACAGTCACTGGAATATTTACAGATTTTAATGACAGTCACTGGATTATTTACAGATTTTAATGACAGTCACTGGATTATTTACAGATTTTAATGACAGTCACTGGATTATTTACAGATTTTAATGACAGTCACTGAATTATTTACAGATTTTAATGACAGTCATTGGAATATTTACAGATTTTAATGACAGTCACTGGAATATTTACAGATTTTAATGACAGTCACTGGATTATTTACAGATTTTAATGACAGTCACTGAATTATTTACAGATTTTAATGACAATCACTGGATTATTTACAGATTTTAATGACAGTCACTGGAATATTTCCAGATTTTAATGACAGTCACTGGATTATTTATAGATTTTAATGACAGTCACTGGATTATTTACAGATTTTAATGACAGTCACTGGATTATTTACAGATTTTAATGACAGTCACTGAATTATTTACAGATTTTAATGACAATCACTGGATTATTTACAGATTTTAATGACAGTCACTGGATTATTTACAGATTTTTTATGACAGTCACTGGATTATTTACAGATTTTAATGACAGTCGCTGGATTATTTACAGATTTTAATGACAGTCACTGGATTATTTACAGATTTTAATGACAGTCACTGGATTATTTACAGATGGCCGTCATATAGCTGGAATATGAGTTAAACTACAAACAAACAACATGTCGTAGTTCCACCCGACCTGCCTTGAAATAAATCCCAACAATACCACCCCTTATCCTATATTTTTACCTCTACATACACACGTATATTTCAATAAGGAAAACAAAAGTGACAAGGGATTCAACGTGTTATTCTGTCAACACGATTTTACGTTACAGATGCTACTACCTTTATCGCGCAAGTTAAACAGCGTGTCAGCTCTGCTTTCCTTGACACTGCACTGGTGTCGAATATTACCGGAATATTGCTAAAAACGGCGTAGAATCAATTCACTCACTCTTTCACTTGATTTAACTTCTAAAATGTCAGATTTCATATCTACATAAGTTTAGATTTACACACACGAGTAGACTTTTCGTATCGGAATAAAGGCGTAAACACAATTATCTCTCTAAAACTAACGCTAAATGTTAGTAATATTTCAACCCTGAGACCGCGGGGCTCACCAAGAGAGTGTGTGAGTGAGTGAGTTCGATTTAAGGTCTCGATCACGTGTACCAGTAGATGCCACGTGCACATCAGCAACACGACCCGTGAACATCCGGGGTAGAATAGGTCCACAGCAACCAATGCTAACGGGATCGAGTGGTTAGGCGCTGACTTGGTTGATGCATGTCATTGTATCCCAAATGCGTGCATTGATCCTCATGATGTCAATCACTGGTTTGCTGGTCCAGACTCGATTATTTACAGACCGCCTTCATATAGCTGGAATATTGCTGAGTGCGGCGTTAAACAACAAACAAACAAACCAAACATAGGTCAAATGTATTGAATGTGTATATATATTCACAACATACATATACCGAGGTGGTTGAAGTGGTTGAGTATAGGGTCTATTTGCGACAATGCAGGGAGATGCACCAATGTATTTACGTGCATTTAATACCTGTCCTTAATTAAGTACGTACATAAAGATAACTTAAATATTGCGCCGAATATGTAATCCCGTGTGTTGAAGAACTGTCTCTCTTATAATTACAGTTGCAGTCAATGGACTTCGCCACGTGCCACACGCCCACGGAATGGGCCTCGTACCCTTGGCTGGCTTGTCACGTGACGAGACCGCAATCCTGGCAGCCTTCCTCCTGGCTCTCGCCTTCTTCCTCTTCCTCATGTTCTTCATCTTCTGTCTGCTCTGCCCCTGGTGGAGGAAGGGCGTGTGTTGCGGGTAACACTATACACATGCTTCTGTTTCCTCTGCTGAGACGTTTAGTGAATCAGTGTCACGTGTCAGTTATTATTTAGAAGATAACATTATTTGTTTTCATATTCGCGGGTGTTATTGTGTATTTGATGCCATGAGTCCGACGGCGTTGGGCGGGGGGGGGTTCAAATAGTGAGTGTTTAGCACATCGGTCAAAGGTCAATAACATGAGCAATTGTAAATTAAACAGTGACATGATTAATTTAGTAAGGTGAAGTCAAATTTAGCGCCGCGTTCAAGAGTATTTCGGACTAATGACGATTTTACAGTGCTAACCCATTGAGATACCATGCCGCAATACCCCACTCAGACACAGTATTTTGACCAGTTAATGTTTTAGCCCTTAATGCCGACCGCTAGGCAGGGTAACAACAATTACCGTATTGTAACGTCTTTTGGTATGACGCGACAGGGGATCGAACACATAATCTTCATCTCTCCGGGCGGACGCTCTACCACTAGACCACGGAGGCGGTCTATATCATTGATTTATCATTGTACCCTATTTACATGAACTCTCAAGGTTGCGGTAAAGAGAGTGAAAACAGTCAATTGTTGTTGGTGTCTTCATCGATATAAACCCCAGCAAAACTGAGTCCCTAGCAAGATGTTCTAAGTCTCTTTGTACCTACCTGCCATCTTTCCATTCTTATATGGAAATCTCTACTGTTTGCTATCGCGTTAGGTGTATACTTTGTGATACATATTTGTGTGTGTGAGTTCTTACGCCGCTTCGATAAGTATTCCACTATTATCACGGCGTGTCAGGTTTAGGAAACCCCAAAATGACGCAGGTCTTTTAATTAGACGGTTACCACTTTGGTGAAACCCACGAACACGGGCATAGTGCTAACACATTTACATTATCAGTGCGAATTTGGAATTCCAACCCTCGGTTACTGATCATTCGTCACCACTCGCCCCTTTCCGTAACCTGCTATTCGGCTTGTCCCGGAATAACACGAGTTGGGCACGAATGGGTTACTGATGTATGTCTAAAATAGGGGACGTAACTCTGCACTGACGACTGATCTCCCAACCCATGTGTGACCCACTTCCATGAATACATTCTTGTGTTCTTCAGCTCCAAGCATGGTGCCGGTGGCTTGAAGAAATCGGAACATTTAACGGAGGTGTAAGTATATAAATATAACATTAATACTCATAACGAATTCCACCTATCAGTGAAAGCTGAGCTCAAGTTGTTCATTAAAGAAACATAACTGTGATGTTTTATAATCAAATGATCCCTGCTACAGTTCTCAAAAGATGTATTCAGGGCCATTCAACGATCTCAGGATTCTTGCAACCTGAATGACGCGACTCTGAACAGCGAATCCCTGCATTTTAGACGAAATGTGAAGCCCCGTTACAATCAGGTTTACATTTCATCTTCAGCAACCCATGCTTGTCGTAAGAGGTGACTAACGGGATCGTGTAGTCAGGCTTGGTTGATGAATGTCATCGTATCCTAATTGCGTAGATCGATGCTGATGATGTCAATCACTGGATTGTCTGGTCCAGAGGCGATTATTTACAGACCGCCGTCATACAGCTGGAATGTTGCTGAGTGCGGCGTTAAACAACAAACAAAATAAAGTAGGGGCCACTTTACTGACGGATAGTATGAAGAGGACATGTGCATCAGACCTTCATATCTTTTCATCCTTGTATTCTGGTAGAGTATGTGTACCGTGTACCCTGGTAAATACTCAGCGTGGAACGGTTAATTATTATTAATATATTAATATTAATATTATTATTACTATTTATTTTTTGTTTTCATTTTTCAGCGACTACAAACTTCCTCGGGCATGGTTGGACACATTCAAAGGGTAGGATGCCATTTTGTATAGTAATGGACACTGTGTGGCATGTTTTATTTTAGCGTTTCAAAAAACACTCAACTCTTGCTCTATTTTGGTTGTTCCTACTTAGACAATTAATACGTATTGCGATTAATTGTGTCATGGCGCACAATGCTTTTATTATCATACATTAAAACAGAGGCAAGTTCTTGATTTTGGAGCAAGGGCGTGTCCACTGCCCAGGTCACAAGGTGAACGATAAAAGTTAACATGCAATGTGTCTGGAGATGGTTTGGGGATCCTCCCGTGAAAAACGTTTTTGAAGATAAGTTTTAGGAAAGCGTCTTCGAAACACTTATATCAGACCAGTGATGCATAGTATTACACTTGAACTTCCTATAGTCGATCCAGTCCGCGGGACCCCCTGTTTGTAGGAACCGACGGAGAGCGAGTGGTGACGATCCGTAACCTTGCTGATTGTGTTTGTTTGTTTGTTGTATATTTGTTGACTCAGCAATATTCAAGGTATATGACGGCCGTTTGTACATAATCGATTCTGGACCTGTCAATCCAGCGGTTGACATCAAGAGCATCGATCCACGCAATTGGGATACGATGCCGTGCGTCAACCAAGTCAGGGAGCCTGACCACCCGATCCCGTTAGTAGCCCCTTACGACAAGCATAGTCGCCTTTTACGGCTAGGACCGGTTGCTCAGGACCTATTTTAACCCGGACCTTCACAGGTCTGCTTATTGTGTATTCAGGCTATCATCGTCACGATATGTCCGAAATATTGCCGTTGTGACGTAAAGCACTCACTCACTAACTCACTCACTCACTCATGCTATCAACCTCTGATCTCCCTGTCCCATGGTAATTTTGCTCCCGTGTGGATGCACGAACAATATCCATCACCTTATACTTGCCGTAACAATCTGTCTGATTTGGTTTGTGCCTCTGTGGAGTGGACGGTTGCTCATGGTATTAACCACTGGTCCACGTGTTGCAGACTCTATGGTTGACAAGCTGCCGTGAGGTTGCTGTAATATTGCTAAAAGATCAAAAATAGAAAAATAAAATAGCATCTGCTTACTTCCTCTTAGGGGGCATGGTAGGCCCTGTCGTTTCAGGCGCCGCGACTCGCTGTGCAGAGTTGCGTCCCTTGGGCACGCCAGAAACCTAGATTGTGGGTTCGAATCCCGGTTCGCCCCGATTATGTTTCTAGGTTTGTCAGCACCATACCCGTGCTCGTGGTTTTCACCGAAGTGGTAAACGTCTGAGACCTGCATCACTTCGGGCTTTCCTCCCACATTAGGCTGACACGCCGTGATATAACTGGAATACTGTTAAAAGCGGCGTTAAACCCAACTCACTCACTACTTCTTCTTGACAAACAAACTCTTCAATAACAATCGATCTTTACCTGATGGGTATCAACTGCTGGTTGTGAGAGGTGACCTTGAGGATGAATGTCATGACCTGGCTGATTACGTCTCATCGTAACCGACGGCGTTGATCGTTTCTCATAATATTAATCACAGGATTGCCTGGTCCAGAAATGATTATTTAAGTCCACCGTCATGTAGCTGAAAACAAACAAACAATCTTTGAAACTCGATGATACCATGTCTAGCATCCCGGAGGACCAGCTTGACGCCAAGATCAAGGAACTGGAGACAACGGGCTGGGCCGGGATGTCCTCGGCTGGATACGGCGCAGGAGCAGGAGGACTTGGCTCCGGAGGACTTGGCTCCGGAGGACTTGGCTCTGGCGGAGAAGGGCTTGCCTCAGGCTCAGGCATAGGCTACGGTGGGGGGTACTACAAGATCTCGTCAGCCGAGGGGCACACCGGGAGTAGGATGCGGGGAGGAGGGGTCAGCGGCAGCAGCGGTGTGGAAGATGCAACAGGTGCGTGTTTGATGTGGAGGACACAGAATCATGTTCGGTAAACGAGGAACCTGATTCTTTTTTTAATCTATACGTTAGTTTTACCCATGCCGTTTATGTCGGGTTGTTTAGCATTGAATTTCTGATTTTGTTTGATAGGTTGCATTGATTATTTTCTGTTAGTCGTATCTTATTGCAAGAGCGAGAGAGAGAGAGAGAGACTGAGAGAGAGAGAGAGAGAGAGAGAGAGAGAGAGAGAGAGAGAGAGAGAGAGAGAGAGTTGTGTTTTATCGGTGCTTTTGACAATATTCCAGTTATATCACGGTGTACCTGCTTAATGTGGGAGGAAAGCCCGAAGTGATGCAGTTCTTAGGCGTTTACCACTTCGGTGAAACCCACGAGCAAGGGTATAGTGTTGACAAACCTAGATTCGGGGCGAATCGGGATTTTAATCCACAGTCAAAGGTTTCTGGCGTGCCCAATGGACGCAACTCTGCACAGTGGATTGCTGCGCCTTAGGCGACTGGGACCCCCAGTGCCCCCTAATGTACAAATGAAGGTGGTGAATCCCTGAAGTAGAAGTATAGAATAGGGTGGCTTTTATATGACCAACGGATAAAACGTGACATTATTTCAGGTGACTTCTTCTTCCATGGAGATGCGATGTCCAGGAGCGCCAATCGTGACATGGGAGGGGATTCGGGCTTCGGCAGCGGGGGCTCAAAGGTCATAACCTCTGTGGTTCAAAACAGCAGTTCTCATGATAGATCTGGCGGATATAGTCATGGAGGGGAGACAACCTCCTCCACCCTGGTCCGGAGAAAACACGACGAGTCGTCTGCCCTTGTTAGTGGTGGAACTATCCGTAGAGTCGCCCTTGATACCGGAAGCTTGGGGAAACTGAAGAAGGTTCAAGTTGTGAAGGAAACAAACCAAAGAACGACAACGACATTTGACAAAGCCGGTAACAAGAACACAACAAAGTCGACAACAACAACGTATAACACTTCCGGTGGGCTAGGGTCAAGGTTACTTGACATGATCCAAGGGATAACGGGTTTTGGAGCGGCATCCGGTACCAGACAGCTCTCAATCAAGGGGAGACAATCAGCGGCAGGTGGCACGCACAGTCAACAATTATCAAGTGGTACATTTGGACGCCAGGCAATTTCCGGCGGAACAGAAAGATTTATGTCAAATCTCGCAGAGGAAAGTCAAATCTCGTCGAACATGATGGAGGGCAGAAATCTCTCCATTCGAGGAACAAAGGGGAGACAATTCTTGGCAACTGGTGGACAGGGAGCTTCCGGATCCGGTTCAACTCGCAGGATTATCATCAAAACCACAGGTGGGGGCGGGGGTATGAATATAATGTCGAATTCAGGAGGACTGGGCTCTTTGTTGTCGAGTTCTGGAGGAGGTGGTACGAATATGATGTCCAGTTCTGGAGGCGTTTCGAACACAATGTCGAGTTCTGAGGTCCTAAGTTCAATGAGGTCGAATTCCGGTGGGTCCGGCTTGATAACAAGTGCTGGAGGAGGCAATACGATGGCTAGGGGAGGAGCTGTGATGTCGAGTTCTGGAGGGGGAGGAGCTATGATGACAAGTTCTGGAGGGGGAGGAGCTATGATGACAAGTTCTGGAGGGGGCGGGACCATGTCGATGATGTCAAGTTCAAGGGGAGGAGGGGGCGTTGCTACAGTGTCTACAGGGATGCTCGGGGGAGGAATGTCTGGCGGAACCGGGGACTATCTGTTCCAGAGAGAAATACAGAGGTAAGATGTAAAGAAGATATTACTTGCTTGCCATCGTCCCTGCTATTCCATCGAATGAAGGAAAAGCGTTTATATGTATCGAGTTGTGGGTCTTGAGTGAATATATCTTTTTGCAAGGGGTTGACAAAAGCCTTTCAGAGATGTTGCTTAAAATTGACCCAATTCGCCATGAAAATAAAAACATTAAATATTCTGATCATCATGTCGTGATGGCTATAACACACGCGCACACCATCACACACACAGAGACATACACCGACAAACACACATACACCAACAAACACACATACATACCAACACACGCACACCAACACACACACACGAACACACATACACACCAACACACGCACACCAACACACACACACCAACACACATACACACCAACACACGCACACCAACACACACACACCAACACACACACACACCAACACACGCACACCAACACACACACACCAACACACATACACACCAACACACGCACACCAACACACACACACCAACACACATACACACCAACACACGCACACCAACACACACACACCAACACACATACACACCAACACACGCACACCAACACACACACACCAACACATATACACCAACACACATACACCAACACACACACGAACACACATACACACCAACACACGCACACCAACACACACACACGAACACACATACACACTAACACACACACACCAACACACACACACCAACACACATACACACCAACACACGCACACCAACACACACACACCAACACACCAACACACACACACCAACACACGCACACCAACACACACACACGAACACACATACACACCAACACACACACACCAACACACACACACCAACACACACACACGAACACACATACACACCAACACACGCACACCAACACACACACACCAACACACATACACACCAACACACGCACGTACATGTACACCGGCACACACCATCACACACACGCTTACCAACACACACATACATCAAAACACACACACACACTTACACCGCCACACATTATCACACATACACCAACACGCACATTCACCAGCACCAACACACGCACACCAACACACATACACCAACACACATACACCAACACACACATATACACACATCACCACTCATACACGCACACCACCACCACACACACGTACACACACATACACCAACACACATACACCAACACACACATACAGCAACACACACACATACACATACACACATACACCAACACACACACATCAATACACACACAAACACCAACGCACACAAACACATACATACACACATGGACACACACATACCCCAACACAAACACACACATACACCAACACACAAACACACAAACACCAACACACACACACATGGACACACACACAAACAAACACACACATCAACACCCACCCACGCTGCATACGTCTTATTTTCCTTTCAGGGAATTCAATATCACCAACCCACAGAACTTCATGAAGCTGTACAACGCCTACAGGAGATACCTCACAGAGAGCAGCGGGCTGGCCAGGGCGTGAGATCACGTGCCCACCACCAGCCCGGCACAAGACGTCACTCTTATTTATGTTGTGTTCATCTTAACAATTTCTAATTGGAAGTACATGTCAATTATACACTGCTAAATGGCCTTCATAAGTCCTGTTTCTTCCCATTAACAAATCAGGTATCAATCTATTCATACGTGTAGCGTGAGCAGGGTCTGCCTAGATGGCAGTCCCAGATGCGTTGATTCAAGAAAGTCAGTACGTGTGCTGTGTGACAGTAATTTTTGTGTGTGTACCAATCTATCGTTGGTCATTGATTACACAGAGACAACTGTATTGCTTTCGTTATAAGGTGTCAAAAGTCAGGGGTTAATGCGTCGATTCATCACACTTACACATTCATTTTCCTTATAAATGACTATTCTCGCTTCGTTGTTACCGCCTATTCTCGCTTCGTTATAAATGACCATTCTCGCTTCGTTGTTACCGCCTATTCTCGCTTCGTTATAAAAGACTATTCTCGCTTCGTTATAAGTGACTATTCGCTTCACTGTAACTGGCTATCCTATTCATCATTACTGTATATCATTATAAGTGACTATTCACCACGTCATGATAGTGTACAACTCTTTACATAGAGGGGCGGTCGGGTAGCCTAGTGGTTAAAGCGTTCGCTCGTCACGCCAAAGACCCGGGTCCGATTCCCGACATGGGTACAATGTGTGAAGTCCACTCCTTTCACCTCCCACAAGGCAAAATTCAGTTTATACTTTATAAAGTTATCTTCTTATCATTATGAAACCATGGTAACGATATGTACATTTTTTTATTATTTCCGAAAGGCTGTGTTACATGTTAGAGATGTTTAGAAGCATATCTTTCGGGATAACAGATTCATTCGTGAGATTCGATAAATCCCACTTCCCCAGTCGTGTTGCTCTACACAAGGTAGGTAACTCTGCGATGCCTATGACAAGTTTCGCACTTGGCGGTGACAGCATGCGGGAGTTTGGTAACCATTTTCTCTTCTGTCAGTTCTGGGCCAAAATATTTTTCGAGTGTCTGTTCAAAGGCCAAACCATATCGTTGTCACACATACAGGCAAATAAAATGTTTCATAAATGACCGACCTTTTACATTTTTGATTGATTTTAAGACATTTCCACTCTTCCAACTATTTGTATTGACGGGATATTATTTTAGGCTTGGTTGCAAGTGATCAGCTGGTACCCGTTGTCTGGAAATACGTGGTGGCACGTGGTCCTGTGCACAGCGCACATATCTCAAATCAGGTGAAGTTACACAACGTCAGTCTCGGAGAGTAGTTGGATGGGTGACCACGTTAAGCAGCTTGACTCCTGAGAGTTTCTAGGGCTTCGGTCCTGCCCCACACTGAACCACATGTACCACATGTGGTGTCTCCTTAAGCTCACAGATCCATTGACCGGGGTAATAATAGTGAAGCGCTATGAGCATCCGCTTGGTGAATGGAATCTGGCGCATTATAAATGCACTTATTATTATTATTATTATTTTCTTGGCAACTGTCGTCATTATCATGAAGTCTATCTTACATTTCAGTTGAGTGTGTTACCTTCAGTATGAGTGTATGTATCAGTTTTCCGAGTTCACTTGTGTTTAGCATAGTGGATAAAGCGTTCGCTCGTCAAGCTGGATACCCGAGTTCAATTCCCCACGTGAACACCATGTGTGAAGCCCATTTCTTGAATCCCCGCGGCGGTATTGCTGGAATATTGCTAAAGGCCACGTAAATCATACTCACTCACTCAGTCACTCACTCACTCAGTCACTCACTCACTCCACTGGTCCTGAGGGCTTAACAAGAAATTGTTGCAAACGTGTTTCGATAACACAATCACATCGCAATTTTGTATATTTTCAAAATGTGTTGGGTACTTTTATTAAGACACTAGTCAGGTACCCTTGTGGTTAAAGCGTTCGCTCGTCACGCCGAGACCCTTGTTCGATTCCCGACATGAGTACAATGTGTGAAGCCCATTTCTTGTGTCCCCCGCCGTGATAATTCTGAAATATTGCTAACAGCGGCGTAAAACCATACTCACTCACTCACTATTAAGACTTGAGGTGAGCACACCCCAAATAACACCCTTACTTATACATTACCGTAGGTATTGTATAGGGGGGTCATTTTCGGTAGATTACTAATATCGATTGCACTGCATAGCGGGTTAGTAAGTGACGGTTCGGAATTTGATTTTTAACGTGATGAACTTACATGATACATTAGTTAATGTGACCCCAGGCTTGTCCTCAAGGCAACACTAAGAACCATGTGGTCACAGTGAATATTCAGGGGGAGGGTAAGTTATACACCATACAATTGCTCATGCTATCTGCCACTCGTTTGCCTTGACTAGATAATGCTAGCCTTAAAACAACTCACTCACTCAGTGTAAATGCACTGTGCTACCTGGGTGGCACCTCTTACGTATAACGTCATTGTTTGGGATGGAGTCCCTTAGATAATCACACGCTGGTGTGATCCCATTTCAACGAAATTTAAAACATAAAAAAAATCCGAGGTATATTGTTCTCGACTATCCTGGTGTGTTCCGAATGCACGAACATCCCCAGAAACAGAGACTCTATTCAGTAACAGTTTGGAACACTAATTCTTTATATTTCATTTATTTGGTGGGTCATGTTTGTTTACTTTTTAAATTTTTATTTGATGCATTATGTATTATGCTATTGTTGTAACATGGAGACACGCTGACGCCAAGCGTCACCCTGTGTGTTGACGTTGTTGAGCGCTCCAGTAACTCACCATGAATGTCAATTGTAAGGCACGTTCCATATGAAATGTCTGGTTTAATGTGACCAGAGGCAGGAGCTAGATATTACCTACATTATATTTTACAGGAGAGATGGGATTAGGGTTTTGTCCGTTTTGTCGAAGATAGTTTTGTTTGCTTGTTGTTTTACGCCGCACCCAGCAATATTCCAACTTTATGGAGGATGTGTCTCAATGATCGATTGTGACCCAGACAATCCAGTGATTGACATCTTAAGCTTTGATCTACGCATTTGAGATACTATGTTTATGCGTCAACCATGTCAGTAAGCCTAACCATTAGTTTTCTCTTACGAGAAGCGATACGCGGATAAGCGAAATCAACAATCAGAGCTCAGCGATTGCAACCTTTCATTGAAGTATCAAATTCAAGAATGACCTCCTACCCACGAACCTGAAAATTCGCATGGTCCACGTTGGAGTTAGAGTGAATCCCGAAACCGTTCTATATCAAGCAGTCATTTTTCAAATCTGATCTTTGTTCTGACGACCGATCATAAGAGACCGTTGATAACATAGAGGGGTTATAACATAGACATGGCTGACCAGCGTGCCGTGGTTACGGCTAGTGTTCTCTGGACATTATACCCGCATACGCCGTCACGTATATAAAGCACCTGCTGTTGTCATACACATGTGTCATCGTGTCTCACTGGGTAAATGGTAGATGGTCAAGTATGATAGCAGGTGCCCCGGGGAGGACATCGCTGACCAAGGGATGACCCCTCGTAGCGTGTGGACTGCCCGTTTAATATATTTACAGATCATCTGGATGACGGTTATTGTTGTTACCAGGTGAATCATGTGATAACGAGACAACACGTGTGTCCCCCCAAGCATGAATTATTAAACACTAAAGAACAGATAACGGAACAAGATATTATCATAAGCCAAACCAAACAGTAATATAATGCAAAAAATGTTGAGATAAGAACTTGAAGGTGATGAATGTTTTCCTAGCAGGCGCGAATGACCTTCAGGTATGTGACGCTTGGAATATGACAAGCCGAACGCTAAAGTGGGAATAGAGGTTTTCCTGTCGTGAAACCCAGAGCCCCAACATGCTGCCGATCATTATCGGTGCGAACTTTGACACAAATCGTCATGTCAAGTTGCAACGCTTTAGATTAGTGGGTCAGCTGTGCCTCTTACGTGTATTTCTTTGTTTCCATTTTTGTATACTACTACTACTACTACTACTACTACTACTGCTACCACTACCACTGCCACTACCACTACTGCCACTGCTGCTGCTGCTGCTACTACTACTACTACTACTACTACTACTACTACAACTACTACTACTACTACTACTACTACTACTACTAATGATGATAATCGAGTCAAGTCTGGAGGAAAACTCATCACAGCATATTTCCGCTGTCTAAAGCTTGCTTTTTATCATTAATTGTAATATCGCGATCGTCAAGAGGTTGACTTATGCATGATCCGTGTGTTTCCAAATTTTATGCATCGGTGACAAAATATGCCTGATGCAATTCCCTTTTTTCACTTTGCCAAATGGTTCCGTACTTTTGTTAAGCAGATCAATTGAATGAATGTGGTTTTACGCGCTCTTAGCAATATTCCCGCAGTATCACGACGGGAGACACCAGAATTGGGCTCCACACATTGTACCTATGTCGGGAATTGATCCCACGCTCGGGGTGACGAGCGAACTCTTTAACCACAAGGCTACCCCACCGCCCCGAGAATCAATAATTGACCTGCTTTTGTGACGGGTTGCGCCGGTGGGGCAGTATATCCTTATTTCATTTCTATTTGATAGTGATTCGTGAACACATGCTGAGGTTATAGTCAGAATCCTGCAGTGGACTGTTGTAGCAGGCATTTGCCAGGAACAGGTGTATGACTGTTTGTACTATTGTTTGTATATAGCGGTTTTCTAAAACCTAAACCATTCCGGAGTAAAATAGGTCTTCAGCAACCCATGCTTGCCGTAAAAAGAGACTATGCTTGTGTAATAGGCGACTGACGGGATCGGGTGGTCAGGCTCGCTGACTTGGTTGATGCATGTCATCGTGTCCCAATTGCGTGGATAGATACTCATGATATAAACCACTGGATTGTCTGGTCCAGATGTTATTATTTACAAACAAACAAACAAACAAACAAACAAACAAACAAACAAACCAACCTATTTTCATTCGTTGTTAACAGGAGACTGAACAATTTCCCAGATGAGATACTCCCATATCGGCTAATTGTTTTGACATGAATGTTTATAGACTGCTAAATATATATGTCATTTTCTTTTTTTCAACTAATTCCATCCAGATTCAGTTTAATTTGTTGCTGTAGTTGTGATCTAAATCATTATCGAACAGTATTCAAGTTAAAAGCCATATAGCTACTCATATTTCAGTCCCGGGAGCTAGACCACGTGCATAAATCCTGGCCAGATTGGTAGAGGCTCTGATACTAGTGTTTGCCCATTAATCATTATACTGTTGCAACACCAGGTGATAACAAAAGGAGTGAACGTATATTTTGACTGGATCGTGTTGAAAGCTTTATTGATCAAAACGTAGGGGAAGCTTAAAATCGTGCTCTTCGCACTTGCATTGCTAACTATGTGAACAACTGTGGATTGAAAACCGATACGAATTCCGATGTAGTGAGCATTTCATATCCTCCACAGAATCCAACACCCTGCAAACTGCTCTACATCAGATGTCCTTGACATTCCAAGCCCTCGCGCCTTTTGTCTCATTTGTAATAGTAGAGGCTCGGTATGCTTCAACCTTGCAGGAAAGAAGAAACATAGCGACGGTTGACATAAGACGCCACAATGGTTGAGATAGGACGCCACAATGGTTGACACAAGACACCACGATAGATGACACAGAAACACCACAGTGGTTGACACAGAGACATCACAATGGTTGACACGGAGACACGACAATGGTTGACACAGAGACACCACAATGGTTGACACGGATACACCATAATGGTTGACACGGAGACATCACAATAGTTGACACGGAGACATCACAATGGTTGACACAGATACACCACAATGGTTGACACAGACACCACAATGGTTGACACAGATACACCACAATGGTTGACACAGAGACATCACAATGGTTGACACAGATACACCACAATGGTTGACACAGAGACATCACAATGGTTGACACAGATACACCACAATGGTTGACACAGAGACATCACAATGGTTGACACGGAGACACCACAATGGTTGACACAGAGACATCACAATGGTTGACACAGAGACATCACAATGGTTGACACAAAG